CGATGCGAGGCGGCTAAGGGGAGTAGAAAGAGAGTGAGAGAGAGAGAGAGAGGGGTAGTAAGGCAAAAGGAAGAAAGCAAGTGGCGCCAAGGACAAAAGCGTTAGAGGGTAACCCAAGAGAGCAAGGCTCTTTTTCCTACGCGCTTTTTTCAGCCCGCAGGAGTCACTATTTCCCCTGTCCGTTCCCTCTACCGCTTTACTCTTCTTTTCGTCGTCGTTTTCCTTTTCGCGCCTTCTCCCGCTCCGAGGCTTCGCAGCTCCAAGCTCGCGTGCTAAATTATTCGTGACCCCTTTGACACTTGACAGTGGCGGCAGTTCCGGTAATTGTGCCTCTATCTCCATCCTACAGACCCAAGTTTCACTTTCTTCGTCTTCGTTCGCCTTGCCTCGCCTCTCTGTCTTTTAGTCTAGCTTTCTGGAATCGTCGAACGACTCCCGTGGATCAACGTGCCTGTGTAATTTTCATGCGAGGGAGAAGTGAATGGACTGTTATGGTAAAGTTTAGTGTTGTTGGTCCTCGAGACGAGAGAAGTGGAAAATTCGTGATTATTTTTCGAAATTGTACGGAGTTGTGCAGGTGTTTCGAATTTTTGGATTAAGTAACTTCGCGGCGCTTCGGTTCGATTGGGTCCGACTTCGGAAAATCTCTCTCCAAGCGAAATTGCTTCGGCGAACGTGATTTTCGGCTACCCAAGAGTGTTCAGTTTGACACGGATTTTATTTGATCGGACCGGGTATACGTATTTCTCGAATTTCGAGGTGTGGTATAGTTTTACGTGTTATTTTCTTATTTTAATTTGGATATTTTAACTTTGATTTTGTATAATCGGTAGAATGCTTGAATATTATTTCCTGATTTTTTAAATTTTTAATTTGAACGAATTTCAAAGGGGTGTGTTAGGTTAGTTTCCTAACTGCAACGCGATATTCGCAGCACTCAATCACTGAAATTATAGACGTGTCTTGAAAATTGTTTTCCCTGGAAATGAACGATCCGGCGAAAAAGTTATAAACCGCGTATTTGATTTCTCTTGCTAGGGGCAAATAACTTTTCTCTTGGATATTACGAATCGCGTACTTCCCAGAATTTCAACGTTTAACCCGAATCGAGGTTAAATAACTCAAATTTTTTCTCGATCTAGACGTACACATCCGATTACTTTGCACCCTTAATCCTTTTTAAATTAGCTTCATTCGTAAGAGATATCGATCATTAGTATTACCTTGCTGCAGTTTCTTTCGCGAATTCTTCAGTATTTTCATTCGTGTAGTGTTGAAAATGCTACTGATAATTGGTAGTAATAAAATAAATACCATAAATTATCAAGAAAAAAAAATAATGTAAATTTTCGTAAAGAATCACTTGCTATTTTGTTCCCGTAAAATTCGAGAAAACTTCTGCATCTCGCGGTCACTGTTCAGAGGATAAAATTAAAGATTAAATTAGGGTAGAAGTGCATGAAAAGGCGCGAACTGAAACTGAGTGCGAGGAAATTTCCAACGCGCCTATAAGCTTGAACAGCAACGAAAGGGTGAAGCGTCGCTTCGAATCCAGCTTAGTTGGAAGCGAGATCGAACTCGGCGTTCGTTCGGCCTGCTTTTTCTTCTTCCACTACTATGGTCATTACGCTCGAGCCTCGTCCGTTCAGTTTCCGTCGTGTTCATGGTAAATAACATCGGAAGTTTCCTCAGATGCTTCCCAAGCGTCTTCGAACACGAACACCGTTCGAAACAAAGAAACATTCGAGCCGCCGAAAATCTGGGAGGAACTAGGAATGTCGTAGTTTTTCATTTCTATCCCATTTTCCAACCCTCTTGCTTCTAACGTGTCCCAAATTATTATTAAGTCATCTCAGAAGTTTCTGTCGAAATTTACAATTTAGATTAATATTTCCAACGAAAAATTTACCTTGGAAAAACCTTTAAATTTGAAAAATTTACCTTGGAAAAACCTTTAAATTTGGAAAATTTATCTTGGAAAAACCTTTAAAAAAAGAAGGAAAGCGCCTTTAAATTCCACAAATTTTTCCTATTTTATTTTTGGTAAAACCATTATGTAGTCGCTAAAGAATTTCCTTGGATTTTCATTAAAACATTCTTCGCTTTCGGCAGGAACTTACGGGACGACCTAATAGTATGCTTATGTTTGGCAACACTCTGTACCGTTCGGCAAGATCGTTGGCCGAAACTAGCCAAACCGAAGACGATGAAAGCAGGAACTTGTGCGGGTAGAAAACGAAAGACGGTGGTAGAAAATGGCGAAGCAAGAAGAACGTTAAGGGAGATCTAGGAGCGACTGGATGATTCGCGGGGGCACGTATACGAACCGAGTTTCTAATTAAACTTAAACTTTTAATTGACTCGTTGTGGAGCCGTTCTGCGCAAGAGGTGTTCCACGTACATACATACATACGTGTTCCATCTATCCACGTTCCTCCAATTTCACCCGATTTCCCCGTGTTTTTGGAATGTTTCGTCGGTTAGCCCTTTTACCCTATCTTCGTAGACGGTCCTCTCCTCTGCAAAGAACCACGAACTTCCCTTATGACCATTTCGCTGCGAGTTAATTAGGGTTGGAAAGAGGGAATCACGTAAATGTATACATGGGCAGAAAATCACGTGGTTGTTGTTGTTGTTACGGTAGAACGTTTCAGCTTATTAGCATACAGATTAATCTGGAAAAAGGAGGAATTTAATGGTTAGGGGTATGTAGTACTCGGTGAAATAAGTGAAAAGAGTTTTGTCAACGTAGGTGTGTAAATTAACCCTTTGACTGCTGGTAACTTGAACGTAAAGTATGGCATAATAGCATTAATAGTTGTTCAATTCTGACACGTCGTCGAGAATCGATTGAAAATGTTAGCGACTGTGTGATCGCCTGAACTTTTTGCTATTCACCTTTTTTGTGTTCTCCCGTCTCGTTGGCCCGTTGCCGCGTTCAGCCCTCGCATTTACCCTTCCCTGGTCGCGTTTGGGTCCCTTGACGGGGGTGAGTTTTGGGTGGGAGGCCAAGTCTCCTAATCACGTTAGGGCCTTGCTCACCCTCAGGAAGGGGGTGTTCTGTGTGAGGTACGCGTCACCTGGGCTTACGGGAAAAACCCAGGGTAACGGTACCGCTAGCGAGCATGTGCCTCGGCTCGCGCGGGTTTATGATACGTGAATTGCTATTGAGATGCACGAAGAAAGCTCGAAATTCTCCGCTTTTACAAGAGGTTTGGAGCCCTCCTGACAATAAGGAATAATTAACGAACGAAAGCATTAAACGCGTATTCAGACCTTAATCTGAAAAATAGCAGAGTCGCGTCCGTATCGTGATCCTGGTCTAACTTAAGTATCCTTAACAATAGTCATACTACATATGTATGACGATAGTTAAATCACTTTTTTATTGAATATTTTGTATTTTATTTTTGTAACATAAATAATATAAAAAGTGTAAAATATAGAATACGAATATGAAGAGCGTTCGATTATCACTGAGAGTCTGCAGCGGTTAAAGGGTTAATTCTGAAAGAGATTAGGCGCTATTTTGTAAGTTGAAGCTGAAGATTAATTTACAGTGTTTACGATTGAAGAAGTTCAATTGCACGATCGCCATCTTCTTTAGATCTCAGCCTTTTTTTATTGGTGTATGCGAAAAACATAATTCGTTCATCTTTTATATCATCAAGATCGTAACGATCTTGAAAATGTAGAGTGCAAAACGCAGTTCGACAAAAACCGAGAATTTTTCGAAATTTTCGCAATTTCCTCCTGTTGAGACGTCAAATTTACATTCGAGGGGGAATTCTTTTTTTAACGAGCACTATATACTCCCAAATTATTCGAACCTTTTTTCAGGTCACCTTGTTTAGTTCCGTGGCTATGAAATTTTGCTCACTTCCGAGAAGAAAGCTTTCGAATTACCCATGAAAAATTACGAAATTTTTTACGCTTCGATGTATCTTTTCGTCAAACTGAATTACAACAAAAGCCATTTCTGCATGTGCAATTTCACGCGATCAATGTGAAAGCTTTCCTACCATTCGCAGAAGCTTATCTACCATTTCTGTACTTTGTAATCAAAATTTGCCAATTATCCGAACAAAAGTACGCGTAAAGCATCGATTTAATTGTGGCAGTGAGCAAGAGAGTAAATTTTCGCGTTGATTTAACACAGCACGCTCTGTTCTCTGCATGATTTCCGAGTTATCGTTGAGTTTTATTTCAAAATTGATAGAGAAATTGACGTAAAAGTAGCTTCGATCGCGCGGATATTGTACTCGTTGGAAGGAAATTGTACAAATGGGGCTTCTTTTATTTCCCTAGCTGGAGATCCCGCGATATTAACTTGTAATTGAGGCGGTTCGCTTAATATACAGCATTGCTTGTATTAATACTCCTTCGTGTAGAAAATTCTAATTTTGAAAATTGTGCCTTGTCAATTACTTATTTGTTTAAACTCTTTTATCTTACTTTTTTGCACTTCCTCTGCATAATTTGTGTGCGCCTATTCATGATAACCACAAAGTGATTTCAGAGTTCTGTCATAAAATTCATATAAGTACACTGTAAACAAGTTTGTGTCTACTTTTTAGGAACCTATAAATCGCACAAGCTTTAAAGTGAAAATAATTTTAAAAAATTGATGATTCTATACTCGAAATTTCCTAGACGAAATATGATAATTACATTTTCTGACAGAACTTCGTATTCGCTCATTTTCAAACCAAGCTTCGCATGCTAAAAAGACAATACCCTAAAATGAAACCCTCGAACAGCATAACCACGTTCCGTTTGTTTCTTCTCTTTTGTAGCGAATCGAGGAACCGTGTGGTCGATAACTGGAATTATTCGAGTGCTTCGATTCGAACGTTGAACGTCGCCAAAGTTCCCACGAAGATCTACGCTAACGGTAGATAAATTCCCTTGGAGGGAGAGAAAAAATTGGTGTCCGTATCAGTGCGTCCGTAATTTCGTGAAAACAGTGTATGCTTTCTGTGTCCAATATTTAAAGAAAAAGAAAAGAAATATTTCGTGACGGTATACGGTGTATTCCGGTGCGCGATAGCTTTTTGGCGGGAAAAAGTGCATTTATTGAAGAAAGTTCGGTTCCTATCTCTCCCGGGTTTGTTTGTTCGTTCGTTCGTTCGAAACGTGTACGGTAGTGTTTGAGGGTTGACGCCTTCAAACCCGTAAACGACGAGTAATCCTGTCTTCCTCAAGAATAAACGAGGCCGAAGGAAGGAGGCACCGTGAAACGGTCGCCAGGAGAGCTCCTATGAAAATGCTTCAATCATTGAACGCTCTGGCGGGAAAAATCTCGCCAGGTTCGCCGACCGACAGCAACGCAAACAAGGTGCACATGCACAACAACAACAACAATAACAACAATATCATGCATCATCATCATCCGTACTCGAAGCAACAGGCGCAACAGCCGTCGCCGTCGTCGCAGTCGAGCAATGGGGACCAGAAGGAAAACACGTGAGTTTCATACAAATTTTTATTCATGTTTTGTATGCGTGGAAACGGGTACACCAGTGTGCGTGTGTGTGTGTATGATGTTTGGTAAAGATTTTATACAAATAGATTTCTCTTTTTTGTTTTGTATACAAGATGGCTTATGGTGTTTTAATTTAAGAGGACATATTGCGTAACAGTATAAATAAACATTTAAATTTGTTAAAATTGTATAGAGCGTGTGTATAATTTGATAATCTGGATATGAAATATTAGCATATAGAGTGATCCATAATATATGGAACCAATTTGAAAAATGGACTCGGTGTTTGAAAGTAATCGAAAAAGTTCGTACAAGTGTGAATTTTACTTGAGATTGTTTACCAGCTCGAAGTTTTTTGAATAGTAAAATTTTAGTTCGTTGAAATTATCCAGAATTAGAAGAAAATTTTCATAGATCAAAATTTTCATTAATTTCATAGATCGAAAATTCGTACATCATTTTCGCGCAAATTTAAGCGATCGAAAGAAACTTGAGTTGAGATTTCTAAAGGCTCCAAACTTCAAAGTTCTGCCGCAAATCGACTGATTTGTTATGAAAGCTTCCGGATCGACTTTAAGTTCCGTGTATTACAGTTACAAAGTCTAGCGAGAATTCAGAAGGGAGGAAGTTTGTTGGAAAGACCGAAAAATGTGAAGAGGCGAAGAAAAAAGAAATGTATGCTCGGTGTAGAAAGGACTTAAATAGCGAAAGGGAGAAATGGGTTAAACAAAGTCGTGCAAATATTTTTCCGTTTCTCCCTACCGTGGATAATTATTTTTTATTACGCGTAGCTGAAATACAGATTTGAAACGTTCTCTTACGGGAATGTATTTTGAAATTTTCAAACTTCGTTGGATACTTTCGGTATAAGAAGGTAGTAGAATACGAATGTAGCAGAACGTACGTAAGTACTTTGTTGCAGTCTCAAGTTAGAAAGCTAGGAGTTCGCTACTGCACAGATATTCGAATAAAGAGAGAGAGAGAGAGAGAGGTGCGAAATAGATTTTATTGTTATCTCTAAATGTAAAGGGAAATTATGACGAGTGAAACCATGTATTACACGTGCCTTAAATTCAATTTCTTTAACGGTATTTCCTAATTTTTTCTCAATTATGAATATCTAAAATGTAATAATAAAAAGTAGCAACGTTAAAAATACTACAATAAACAAACTTAGTGTGATAATATACAATAATGATTGTTTTTAACGTAACTTTCGAAATATTTGATAAATATTTACTAGTAAATGGATAGTATTTTAAACTTAATATTTAAATAAATTTAAACATTTTACTATGACACCTTTGAAAACACTTACTTGAGAATCCAGAAATATACACATATAGACATGTTACTGTACATAAAAAAAGATAAACGAAGAGACAAATGTTTAGATACAAAAAAAAATTTGTTTCCTTTTTGTTTCGATAATTAGAAAAATTTGCATAACTTAAACTGCTATCTTTGACACCGTTACTGTAACGTGAAATACGCAATAAAGAATGCGCAAGGTGAAATTTCCGTAATGCATCGAAGCAAACGGAAAGAGAGACAGAATTACGCCTGTTTCATTTCTTCCGCAATATAATTGGATGCAAAAAGCAGAAGCTTCGAGTAGTTGAGCAGGTTCGATAAGCAGGATGAGAAAATCAAAACTCACAGGTTGCCGTGCTAGTTGAATTACAGCGAGCAATGTCGCGATAACAATGAAAATGCAATTTAATGCTCGTTACGGGCCACTTCCCGTCTACACCCGCTACTTTTTTCCATCATCGTGTTATTTGCAAAAGCTGAGAGTAAGATACTTCGTTTAATGGAAAGGCTGTCCCCTGGGAATACACGATGCGAGTGGCTTCCTCCTTGAGAAAAAGTCAGGTGAATAATAGCGGCCGCGACGGTGCGTTACGTAGGTTCTTTAAATTGGAACAGAGTGAATCGAAGTGAGTTCGATGTCACAGTGGAAGTTAAACAGGTACAGCGAGTCGCAGGACTGTTCGTACACACTTTAAAGAAAAATAAGTTTTTGGAAAATTGGACCGAACGATTTGACCCTTTTTTTCGAGAAATTAGGATGATTTGTAAATTTTCATTGCGGGCTTTAAAAAAGTTTGAAACGGCGACCTTCGCTATTTGGACCAGTTGTAGTTTTTTCAAAATTCTTTTCAGAGGTCGCCCAGTAGACTAACTTTTCTAATTTCTCAGAAAAGCTCAAGTCGTTCGGTCCGATTTTTAAAAAGTTATGCTTTTTGAAGGGTGCATGAACAGTTCTGCGACTCACTGTACGTGGCTACAGAGATTTCAATAGTTTAACAAGGGTTTCCCCTGGGACGTTATAAAATGAATCTTCTTTTGTGAAGCCAAATTAATGTTTCTGCTGTTTCAATTATTTAAAAACAGAAATTTTAAAAAAATTAGAGTTCAGTTCGTAGAATTGTCAGCTAAAATTTTTTTTGTGTATACTTTTACAGCCTAAGAATTAAATTTCAACTTTCGAAGGATCAAACTTCCCCCATCTACAACCACGTCTCTAAATCAATTCCTACTTTCACAACACAACAGTGTCAGTCTTCCAATATTTCAACGGCTTAACAATTATGCTTCGATTAATCTCCCTATCCACAATCGCCCGAATGAAACCCAGAAAAACGCAATTAACGTAGAAATCGTCAACATCAAACTTACCAACGGGATATCTCGTCAATATCATGAACTCCATCCACTCCGTTGTCCATAACAAAATTTATACGATTCTTTCTCGGTGTATAGCCTTTAAAACTAGGGTACGCCCGAAGCAGACGTCGTTTCCGTCGTAAATTCGCGCGCGACTGTTCTCCGTTACTCGAGAAAATTCCGAGAGCCCCTTTTCGTCGTCGTAAACTCCCCTCCTCGTTGATGCGTCGCGATGGGAATCACGCGGAAGTACGAGTTGAAGAGAGTGTTTCTTTCGTTGGTACCAGAGGACGAAGAGAGAGAGAGAGAGAGAAACGAGAGATGTCGTCGCTGTGACCTTCTTCATTATTTCGTTACGTCGCGTAAACGCGGCTCGCGCGAATAGCGTTTGCGGAAGGGGAAATGCGCGGCAGCCTAAAATAACTCGGCGACATTCCTCAATGCGTGACAGGGCGAGTGAGAGCAACCCCCTTCCGACATTGCTTTTCTCCACCTCGGATCTCCGTCTCTCTTTCGGTCCTCCTCTTCGCGCCTCTCTTCTCACCTTTGCTCCACGATCTTCTTCGTCTACTACCCGCGGCGCGGATCTCTCTAAAATATGCACCCAGCTAACGTAAAATGCGATATTCGAACGGCGGAATTCCTCGTCCAAGGACTTGGAGAATTCTGCGGGAATTCAGCGGGCAGAAGGGTTTCGGTGTGATGCACGACGAAATTAAGTCCTCCGTGGGTGGTTAGACCTCCTTCCGATCGAGTTTTTGGAATTCTTCGTAATTTATAATACGCGTCTCTGACGAATTCGTTTTTTCTTCTTTTTTGGGGCAAGATTATTGAAAGTTGAGTGTTTTTTAAATTTTTGCCGAAGATGCGTATTGACGTGAGCTCTGGTGTGTGTTTAACCCCTTCACTGTGCCCTTGGCGCAAATTTAATTTCTAACTTTTGTCCTTCGCGTAATTCCACCTTGATTTTCGAAAGGGCGAATGTTTTAATATTGGGGCAAGATTATTGAAAGTTGAGTGTTTTTTAAATTTCTGCCGAAGATGCGTATTGACGTGAGCTCTGGTGTGTGTTTAACCCCTTCACTGTGCCCTTGGCGCGAATTTAATTTCTAACTTTTGTCCTTCGCATAATTCCACCTTGATTTTCGAAAGGGCGAATGTTTTAATATTTCACAAAATTTTAAAACGCGTGTGAAAGGGTTAAGGGAAGATTCTGGTGGGAAATATTGAACTGTATTTTGCCTTCAGAAGAATTTCTCGAAGTTAGAAAAATGAATGGAACGATGGAGGCAAAAATAAAGGAAAATGCTTGCAACGAGTCGGTCGTTTGAAGGAATACCTTCCGCGACAACCTCTTTCTTATACCATTGCGAATTTCTCTATAAAATTCTGAACAATATCCTCAAGTTAAATATCGCCCCAATTCGTCAAACCAATATCGATTTCATCTATCACCGGTAACGTTCTTTTCAAATTCTCCAACACACGGTAGCATAGAAAAAGTATCTCCGCTCGAAAGAACAAACTCGAACAATCGATTTTCCGCGCCGAAAAACGAACAAAAATGGGGCAGAAAAGAAAAAATATGTAATTCCATAGCGATACCGGCGATAATTTATATTCTCCGCTGTACACTACTGACGAACGCTGATTTATAACCTTTTTTCGACAAACAATCGGAAACGAAGCCTCGACAAAAACAGCGAGGACCGCGACCCGTGAATAGCAAACCTCCCCGCGACACGCCTCGTCGATAAATCTCGGCCCGCGCGTTAGATCTCTAAACGAACGTGATATTTTTCCATTATCCGGCATAGTTAGTAAGCGCACACGCGACTCCCGGCACACGCGTTTACCTTCGATCTAGGGTTACGCGACGACAGGGTATTAAGTCGTACCGTAAATTTTACTTAATGTCTAATAGCGCGCACGCGGAACTCGCGCTGGCTGGTTGCTCATAGAATAATAAGATACTGCCGCAACGAGTAGTTAATTACGGGAAGTGTTAGGCAGTCGTGTGGTGGTCTGTGGCGAGTTGCTGCGAGTGGCCTGGCTCGCGCAACTTCTGCAAAGAGGCGTTTAACGCGTGTAGGAAGGCCGATAGGTGCAAGGGTTAAGTGATATGTACGGCTCGAGGGAGGAATTCGCTTAACAAAAGGGTCACCGAAGGACCCTAAAGGTCGTACGAGGGTTCCCTTATCTAGATTCGAATGCTTTACTCGCGCCGGGAAACTATGTATATCGAAATTAATTTCTACTTGTCGACAGGCTGGATTTCTATCTTTTCGTCGTGGAGAAGTTACCGAAGTGA